TAGGGGTTTAGGGGTTGAGGCTTTGGAGGGTTAGGTTTAGGGGTTGAGGGTTTAGAGGGTTGAGGTTGAGGGGTTGAGGTTTTAGCAGTTTAGGGGTTGAGGGTTTAGGGGTTTAATGTTGAGAGTTTGAGGGTTTAGGGTTTAGGGATTTCAGGTTTAGAGGCTTAGGGGTTCAAGGTTTGGGGGTTTAGGTTCTAGGGGTGTAGGGTTTAGGGTGAGAGAACCTTCCGCATGGATGACAAACACGCACACACACATACACGCACATACACGCACACACACACACACACATACACACACACACACAGAGACGCACACAACAAATATTCTACAAGTAATCGTCGTCATCGGAATGGTTACAGTCGTGTTGGTGGCAACATGAGCAGCGGCAGTAGCAAGAGCAAATTTTTGCGAGACCACAGTGCAGCAATGAAGATGGATTGACATAGCGTGATGCCTGGTGGCACATTGGAACCTGCAAGTAGAAGTACTCACACCATGCAAGCGTCAGTTCAAGAGTAATCGACATAGCCGCTTTTGCGTTGTGGATGATAGATGACGTTGCGAAAACATGCTAGTTTCCTTAGATGGGGTGACCCCAGTACAAACCCCAAAATACTGTAATCCTTGTGAGACAAAAGGTATCCCTAATTTCGGGGAAACCCCCACATCATAGTCCGGAGGAGCCTGCCTTCGATTTGGATGCAGCTTCACTCTCCTCGGTCACAACGGCGGCTAGCTTGAAGCAACAGCGCATTCACTTGCTTTCTAGAGGTTGCAAGATTCTGGTCCCGTGTTGCGGCCCAGTCGCGCAGGACAATACCCACAGGTCCATGTCTTCAGCAAGCTCCTGGCATTCACATGGGAGGATCCTGCACAAGCACTGAGATGCGCATTTGCCGCGCCTCGACGATATCGCACTTCTCTTCTGGGAGCAGAAAGCTTAGAAGTTCATCTGGCATTTCACCGGAGAGGATCATTGGCCCTGCCTCTGCCTGATCATCCGACTGCCACTTGGTGAAAGTGTCAGAGGCATAGGTCAAGGCTTCTCCCGGCGTCAAGGTAGCAAGAGCCTTGCGGGCCCTTTCTCGGAAGAGATCCTCTGCCTCCTGTTGCCTGGCATCATCCTGACCCCCGCTATCTGTCGCAGCTCCCTGGCGAGAACCTTGCTGCACGGATGGCACGGAAGGCCTTCTCTTGCCTCGTTTTGTAGCTTTCTCAGGAGGTGCTGGGCGATCTTTTTCCAGCTTTTCAACGCGACGCTTTGCCCGCTCTACAATGGTACCTTTCTCCTCTGCCGCCTTTTTGAGCAGCTCGGTGAGGGAACCTTCCTCCAGAGCCCCAAAAAACCTGTTCCACTCCTTCCTCGAAACGAAACCGTTAGAAGGATTGCCGTCCATCATGCTAAAGACTTGCGACGGCTTAAAGCCTGTGAGCTTCTCCAGATCAATTTTCAGGAGCACCATGCCTGTATCCCACACCACGGTGCTGAACTTGCCTTTTCTGTGGGTGTCAAACCAAGCAAACGCACGGGCGAGGGATCCAAGTTTTGCCATGAGGACGTAGGCGAGCGCCTCCAGACCAGAGAGATCAAGCGTTTTCAATTCCTGACACAATTCTTCCTGTTCCAGAACTGCTTCCATGTCTGCTCTGCTCAGAGTATACGGATCCAGCTCTGCTGCTGGAGCTGCCAGGGCTTGCCGCAAGCTCTCCGTGACACAAGTGACGTCGGCCTCGTTCAGGGCAGGCTGCGTGGATGCACCAAAGGGCAAAGGCTCTGCTTCCTCACTCGGCATCTCTGCCAGCATGTCTGCCGTCGGATTCTCTGCAGCATTCCTGAGCACCTGCTCACCTCCGGCCGACTGCGTCTCCACAGAAGGCTGCATTTCTCCTCCTGCTGCCACCTGCACATACAGACAGACCAGAGCCCACGCAAGTCAAGAATCGTGAGGGGAAGGCACATGGCCACCGAACAGGCTTAGCAACATCTTACCAAGACCCTTATATCAATCATACTCTAAAGTCCTTATAGGGCATTATTCAGGGGAGTATTATAGGGCTTCATAGTGGGAATACTAATTGTTCAGATAGTGGGAATACTAATTGTTCAGACTATGGATCATATACCAAATTCTCCTATTCCCCAGTACGCACCAGTAAATTTTAGAGTTCAGAGTTTACAGTCCCAGTTACTCTCATACTGAACATCGTGCGTTCGAGGGCAGGGCCTGATCCAAGGCTAGTCCATTCGACATCCTCTTTTCTTACTAGGGGCCGGTACGGAATTAAGGAATATAATTCCTATGTAACCCTTATATAATAGATTCCCTTATTCCTAAGGAATAAGGGAAAATAATCTCTATACTCTATATGAGCCCTTTTGGATATATTACCGTATTCCCTACTAACCCAAACCCTAAACCGTACACATATTAACTATGTGGCACTCAGGACCCCTACTAAGGGTTAACCCTCAGGTACCCATAATAGGAGTATAAGGGAATCCCAAAGGGTTTAGGGTCAAGTCCCAAGTAGTCTTAGAGTAAGTTTAAAAGCCTCTGCATGTGCCTGAAGCCCAGAGTAGCTCGAAAGTATGTTAGTCTAAACTTTTGGTATCCCCATGAATAGCACTAGGAGTTAGGGTTTAAGGCTTAGGGATGTCTGAACTCCTAGTATCCCACTGAAGAGGTGCAGGATTTAGGGTTTCGGGCTAGGGGATGTCTAAACCCCTATTATCCCCCTGAGGATTTAAGGCTTAGGGCTTAAGGATATCTAAACTCCTGGTATCCCCCTTAATATAATCCCTATACGACCCTCTTTAAGGGAGTTTGGACGATAGCTCATGTCACGTAAACCCCTCGTTAATAGTACGGTCATGAGTATTACTCTTAGTTGTTGAGCATCTTAATCATATCCTCATCAGTACTACTGGGAATATTGTTGATCATAGAATCATTACAAGTACCATTATTAACCCTAAACCCTAAGCCCACCAAGGATCTTGGGTGGTCTAGTCATTCCCTATTGCCCGGCATTTCTGGAACCGCAGGCCACAGCGCATGCAAATCCTACCTCTGGTTAGCGAGGAAAGAAGGAACGGATCCTTATGGTAGTCCCTATATAACCTCCGAGCACGCCGTAGTTTCCAAACCCTAAACCCTAAACCCCTAAACCCTAAACCCTACACCTTAAACCCTAAACCCCTAAACCCTAAAACCCATGTTTTCAACCTCTTGAAGCTTGTGCCACCATCCCCAACTCTGGCGGTA